TGAGGAAACAAGACTAACTGATGTTCTGTGTTGCTCATAAACACGTTCTGAAGGCAATTCCCAAAGGGGATTGCTAAAGATTTTCCTAAACACTAGTAGGCATTCCTGCAGGTAAGTGTTTATTCCTTCACACTAACTACTTAGAACTACAATGTAAATAAATATCCAGTATGTTTTGGGGAGAAAAGTCTGAGTCACAATTTGTCTAGCTGATGTTCTCTTCTTTCTAAATGTTATTTTGAAAGGCTTAATAAACAAATCTTCCCCTTCCTGCCCCTACTTCCCTGCACCCCTTCAACACCCACCAATCTAACACGGTGTCATATGCCTTCATTTCACTCTAGTAATGTCTCCCTTAACACTGGACCTTCTTCTCTAGTGTCTCCATGAACTCTTTGTTAACCATGGAGCTTTAATGTTTCCCTTCTTGAGTTTTCATGCCTTGGTTCACATTCTTATCCCCTGACCTCCTACTTTTCTATACTAACCCTTCAAGGCCTAGTGCAGACCCCACCTGAGCAGCCTTTGCTGGCCTCCTACACTCCTCTCTATCCTTCTGCTTGTCTCTCTGAACCATTGTGCAGTGTGGAACTCCACCAATGAAGGTGCTCCCTAAGATATTTGCGGGGTGTTGTGAAATGAAGGTTGGAGTGATATCTCAATCACGGGATTATTCAGGGTCAAGATGAAAGCAAACAGCATGAGTTCATTTCAGTCCGGAGGAGTCCAATTTGCTCCTAATGAAGGCTAAATTAACAACAGGCAGGACTGAATTTTACGCTTCCTGTCTCATTCCTTTGCAACTGTATTGGGCAGGTTCCTGGGAACACACATCAAGTCCTCCTTCAAGTGGAAGAAATATGACTCAGAGAGATATGATCAATGAGAGCCATCAATTAGAGAAGAGTAGTATAAGGCAAGAAAAGAAAACAATATTATCTGGGAGTAGAAAGGTTGAAGATAAACACTGTGTCAGCTAGGATAAGAATCACACCTAGCCTTTGGAAGGTGAAAATTCTGGCCAGCTGTCTGATGTCACCTGGTTTCCTGCTCCTAAGTTCTCATGTCTTTCATGTGTTGCTCCATTTTTGCTGGTGCAAGAAAAATTAAAATACAGGTATGACTGACTGCCACAGGAAAATATCAACAGACTTGTCGTGAACTCTCTGATCATTTTCCCCCTTGCAGGAGGATCTTATGGTTTTTCTATTGCTGTGTAAGACTTTTTATGTAGCACACCTATTAACTCTTTGTTGACCATATATATTACAAACAAGTTTTTCTCGAATGGTAAGACATTTCTCTCCCCTGATAATCCATCACTCCCCACTCTTGTGAAATTGCGAGCAAGGCTTTATACTTAGCAGGAAGGACTGCCAATGATGTATCTCCAAATGACAAACAGGCTTGAGCGACTCCACGCCAGCTAGACCATAACGCTCAGAAAACCAGAAACTCAAAAAACAAACCTGTGGTGATTCAGCAAGCTTATTCCTGAGAATAATTTTCCTAAAAAATAATCTACACACTTTGATTTTAGAGTATGTGGCATAAGTATTGAATTTGGAGCATTTCCAAATACACAATATAAAACTCAGACTTAAACTATCATTTCTTTCACTGTGCATCAAATCCTATCTCTTTGTGTTATGGATGGTTAGGAAAAAAAAAAAGGCTTTCCTTTCCCTATAAGAATTCATTGTAAATCTTATAAACACAATGTAAATGACTGTAGTGACCTATCAGCACCTTCAGAACGGGGTTCCTGAGGAGACTTCCCAGAATTAGATGGGAATTCACTGAGATCAGAGAATTTTGGACCTCCTCACTTAAAATACTGGAAAAGAGGCACACAATCTCAATCATAATATAAATTAGTCATGGGGATAAAAATAGAGCATAGAGAATATAGTCAATAGTTCTGTAACATCTTTCTGTGTTGATAGATAGCAACTACACTAATTGGGGTAAGGATTTAATAATGCAGATAGCTGTCAAATCACTGTTGTATAGTTGAAACCAATATAATATTGCATATCAAAATACTTCAATTAAAAATACATATCAAGGAAAAAATTAATTTTGGTATAGCTGGGCATCCTCTTCTCAGACTCAAACCTCAGGCTCTCATTACACTTAGAAAGTATCTGCTCAAAATAAGTTATTTTTCCTGTTGCTCAATTCAAACAATTTATGATACTTTCAGTTTACTGGAATGCAGCATGGTGGTTGACCAAGCAACTGATTATGCAAATCAGAAGTTGTATAGCAAAAAAAAAAAAAAAAAGTAACTCAATCTGGAAACTTAGTTTCCAAAAATACAGGGTAATGTGCAGCAGCAGACTAGAGGTAGTATCAACCAAATGTCCTTGGGAAACTGGGAAGTCCCATGGATTAAGGACAATGACCTGGGTGACCAAGCTACCAGAAGCTGGGTAGCCAATAAAGGGCTATTGGCACACAGAGGCTGAGGGCAATGACCTGGCTGCTCAACTGTAGAAAGCCAAGGGCGTGATACAGTCAGTACAGACCACACTCCCAGGCCAAGTGTAGAATAAATATAATTAGCCCTCCAACACTCACAGGCAGCCCTCCAAGGCACACACTCAACTTGCAAAGGCCATTCAGCATTGTGTGTCCTTCCGGGAAGACAGATTGCCTCCTTTCCTCCACAAGTAGGTCTCTATTTCTTTTCTGTCATCCATGTACCGGCCTCGGTCTCTCCATGCCTGGCTTTCATGAAGACTCACTAGGACTCACATGCTCTCGTAGCTCTGTCTCCATGGTGGGTTCCAGCTCCATCTAGCTCCAACTCCATCCAAGTGGCCTCTCTGTAGATGCCTACAGGGGCCTCAAAGGCAGCTTGCAAGCTGCAGGAGAGAAAGTCTGGGGAGTGATTGCAGAAACGAGGGAAAATGGACGAAAGCGGCTGTGACACCAGAGGTGTGTTCCAGCTGGAGACTGAGATATAACCTCACAAGATCAGTATGGGAGCTGGTCCTTCTGCTCCTGTAGAGTTCCTTCAGTCTCCATCTAATCCAGCCAGCTGCTTCAGATGCACCAAACTCAAACTGGTATTCAGACCAGATGGCCATGTATTCATTGACCATGAGAAATCTGGCAAGAATGTACAGGAACTCAAATCACAGGCACCTAGGTCAGATTCACCTGCTCTGTGCCGTTGGGGGCAAGCTGCAGTCAGGCTGGAGTCTTCGAGCCTGACAGCCCCGTGCACCATCTCCCTTACAGGGACCCATGCAGCGTGGGCATTTACATTGGCTGGCCAGGACCAGGGCACTGTCTTCCTTGCCTGCTGCAGGAATTGCACTGCCCATTCCCTGCCCCTTAGTAGGCTCCATGTTAACAATTTCCCTTTCCTGGGCACTGCCTTTCTTTAGCCAGAAGTCAGCACGGCAGAGAGCCTCATGGCTGTCCCTGACCATCACCAGCACAGAGAAACCCATGCAAGGACGAGGGTCCTGGAGTCATCTGGCGTTCATCTTTCTCATCCTTCTTTGACAGCTGTGTGGCATTCCCATGGACATGGACATATTATACTCCATTTAACTAATTTCCTCCTGAGATACATCTGGGTTGTTTCTTAGCTTCTACTGTTATAAACTGTGTCACAATGAATAACCATGTACATGCGTCATATTTTACATGTGCAGCTAAACCCATAGGATAGGTCTCGGAAGTAGGATGGCTGAGTTACAGGACAAAGGGATCTGGACCAAGGCACGGCAAGTGTGCAAATTCCCTTCCGGAGAGGTGGCCCCATTCTGTACTCTCACTAACAACGTCTCAGTACCTGTTTCCCCCCAGCCTGGAGAAAGTGGTGTTGATAAACTGCTGGATTTTCCCCAAATTACAGATGAGAAGTTAGATCCCACTAGTTTGCATATTTCTTAAAAGTGAACTTGTGTATCTTTTCATATATTTTACAACAGTCATTTACATTGTTTTCTGTGAGCTATATTTTCATATCCTTTGAGCCCAAATTGGACTCTTTTTGTATTGTTTTGACCAAGGTTCCAGAAACTGGGGAAAAAACAATAGGTTACAAGTACTTCCATGTTCTAAAATGAGGATTTCCAAATGGTCTTGGGACTCATAGCCCAGTGCCCAGGATGTAAAGTGGTTTAAATTGAAAAGTCCCAAAGGAAGAAGTCCTCTGGAGAAAGCCACTGGCATGCTGAGCATTTTCCATGCTACCACAGTGGTCGGGGCAGAGGTGTCTTCTTCAGTGCCAACCTGAAAAGAGGAGCTTCAAGAGGCCTCCCCACCCAGAGATTTTGACTTGTGCCCCCTAAAGCTCTGGGAGACACACTGGCCTGGTGGCTGGTTCCAAGATCGGAAACCGAACGGTCCAGAAGCTGAGGCTGTCAGGCCAGCAGAACAAAAAAGTGGGAGCCGCCCTGGATGCAAGCTATTTTCACTAATGAGAGGACAAAGGGGCTAACTAATGAGTGAGGGAACTGGTCTGTGGCTCCACGGAGCACCTCCTTTCGGCATGGCAGCATCTGTGAGTTTCCTGGGCCAAGCAGATACCCGGGAGAGTGAGCACATGGGAGGAGCCATCTTGACGTGCCTTCTCCCCTGAAAACCGGCCAACTTCCCAGGCAAGAAAACTCCAGGGAGGCCAGCAGAAGAGGCCGGGGAATGCGACTACTGAGACAGGACTTGAGGCAGTAACTCAAGAGTTTAGGATGACAAAATATAAAATATCTAGACATACACAACAAAAACTAAGCATGAATTACCTTATAAGTTGAAAACTAAAATACTTGACACAGGGACACACACAAAAATTAAATGGAGACACATATCCTGTTCTGGAATAGGGCCATTCTTTATTTAACACCTCCCCAAGAAAAAATACTTAAGATTCTGGGAGAATTTGGCCAAATAAATCTTGAGTTTATGTATAATAAACATACATGAATAAATATATAATAAAAGCTGAGAATACTCTGAGAATTAACAGGAAAAAGGTGGTACTTTTAATTGGTATTTTTTCTTAATTTAAAGTTACAGCAGATAGTATGAGCCCAGAAATAGGTTGGAAGAACAAGAAAAATTTTCAGAAATATACTTTAGTCTATGATTCAAATCCCAAAGGGAAAAAATACCAGTCACTGACTATTAGCAGGACAACAGGCTGAAACCATTTAGCAACAAAACAGATCCCGCCAAACCTCACACCTTATGCTAAAATAAATTTCAGATGGATTAAAGATTTAAATGTTTCATTGCTGAGTTATATTTATTACCTTGAAATTGGAGGGTCCTTCTAAGCATGGCACCAAAAGCAAAATATGAAGGAAAACGACTGATAAATTTGACAATACAAATTTAAGGTTTTTGTGTGACAACATATGACTCAAACAAAGTCAAAAAAGAACTGAAGGATTAACTAGAAAATTTGTTCATGAAATATATGACAGTTACAAGTGAAAATTACTACAATACAGAGTACTTTTTCAAATCAACAAAAGACAAACAATCCTGGGCTGGGAAAAAAGGCAATTCACCAAGACAGAATTATAAATGACGGATCAATATGCAAAGTAGTCAGAGAAATGCCAACAAAACACTGAAACATCACTTTCACCTGCCAGATTAAAGGTATCAACAATGCCATATGGTGTTGAGGTTTTCTGTTGGTGCATGTAAACTGGCATAAAGTTTCTCTGAGGTTCTTCTGACATTATGTGGTCAGCATAAAATGTATGTAGTAGTTTTCATTCCAACAATTCATTCCAACAATTTCACTTCCAGGAATAGTTGCCTACTTGACAATTGCGTATAATTATACAGACTTGTATGAAAGTAGTAAACATCTGGAAACACTCCAAATGCACAACACACAACAGAGTATTGGTCAAATAAATTAGGATATGAGATTTAATGCAGTCATTCCTGACATAAAAAATGTGTCCAGGATATGCTGATGAACGAAAGCAGCATGTTACAAAACGACATGCATAGTTTGACCCATTTTGGCAACCCTGAGCTGTGCTAAGAATGTATGAATATGGAAACATGGATGTGGTACACACATACATCACGAAAATGATTCATTCTCTTTCTCTCTCTCTCTCTCTCTCTGAAAAACATGAGCATACACTGCTTTTTCACATGATTTGCTTCATTGGATCACAGGCCCACGAGCCAGGGCACAGAAAAAGCAACACCCTCTTTCCTCTCCAAAATCAGGAACTTCAATTTAATCACATACCAGCAATGGTGTGGTAGGCAAAAGGTCCTTAAAACATTATTTGATTGACTACTACTACCATCAGTTTTCTCTTAGATGAATAGAATGAAAAAACAGAAGGCTTAGAAAATAAGAATATGAGGTTAGCAATAAAAAGGGAACATTGAGAATTTCTTTTTAACTTCTTTAAAAATCTATTTAAATATTAACTTTAAGCTAATGTAGAATTTCAAGATAATAACTTCTGCTCTGGTCTTAAATCTTAAGTGCCCAGCTGCAATTTCAGGTGGTCTTGAGCCAGAGATGGACTAGTACTTATTCCCCCTAATTAACTTCCATCGATTGGTTTGGTTGGTTGTGGCTCCTTTTAGAAGTGATGGGAGGAGGAACTTCACAGTGAAGAGAGATATAAAAAGACACATGTGCTATAACAGTATAGGCAATGGTTGAATATATAAGTATGTACGAAATGTGAAGGACTCAATTTCCCAAGAACCAAAAGAGCTGTCCAAAGATTTGCTCAACGCCTATCAAATCCCAGGAATAAGAACTAGACTTGCAGTCAGCTTTGGCTCCACAATTCAAGTCACATGTCTGTCTGACCCCCACCTCCCCATTCTAACATGGGGAAAGAGATAAACCGAACCTTCCCAGCACACAGAACTGTTGTGTGAATGGAATGGAAGAACGTGTACAAACAGAAACTGTGGTGGATATAAATAAAAACTGTGGGTACACACAAAACCAGCCAGGGAACACTCTGGGCAACTCCCCAGTTTTGAATCCTAATCTAGAAGGGAGCTTAAGACTGGATCCTTGTGCTCACCTCTACATGCTTGTCTCCAAGACAGGTACCAGGGAGAAGATCCTTCCTCTAACCCCACCTTAGGATCTAGCTATATTTAGTGGTACTCATAATCCAACTCAGAGTGCTACCTGATCAGACCTTCAATGGAAGGACCCTGTGCCCTCCCAGGGAGACCCATTCTTGGTCTCCTGGGAGGCTCTCTCCCCACCTTAATCAAGAATCCACTTGGAAAAAAAGAACAGCATTGTTATAAATCTACCATGTGAGCTCAGAGAATGTAAAGCTGCCTTCATGTTTATGAGGAAATTAGAAAAGAACTGCAGAAAAATGGGACATCCTTTTTGCAAATGCTTCTTGCCTGCTCCTGTTAAGTATTAATGCTGAACAAAAGCTCTGAAATTTGGAACATTTAGAGGCAGTGACAAAGTCCATGTTTTTTGCTATTTTGGTACTCTGATTTCATGAACTGTTTTTACATTTCTGCATTGTACCCAGAAGTATGTTTTACTTATTACTTAACATTTAATCAGTTATTTTAACCATAAAATTTTGATGTTAAGCGAGTGGCATTTCTTCCCTTCAATGACAATTATGCTAAGTTCCATGTGGACAACTGTAGCTTCTTTGGCAGTTAATTCCAGAGCTAGAAATTAGGGAGGCTATAGAAACACATGGTATTTACAGAACCAGTTCATAAGAGAAGAAGGAAAGGCCCAGATTCCCTCTTTGGAGAGAAGAGGCTTTGAGGAAAAGCCTTATTCATCAGACACCCTATCCAATATTTAATCACAATAACTTGTAAGATTCCAAGTTTAATTCAAGAGAAAACAGTATGAGTTTGAATTGTTGTACATAAAAATCAAAAGTAGAAAGTTGTTTGTATTAGTCTACTGAGAGCTCTACTCTGTAGTTCACCTGAGAGCAGGAAGGGTTCTAAATGCAGATCGTAATTTGTAGTCTGAGGTAGTATCTCAGAGGAAAAGGACAGTTATTCCCAATACTGCCCAGTACTGGCAGGGGCCCGGGGCTGGCACTGAGCACCCAAGGGTCAGGCATCACTTCCCTCCCCTGACTCTTCCCAGTTGGGTGGATGCACTTTGGGCCAGCTTCATAGACAGTTTCCACCGGTTCCTGCTCTCTCCTCATCTGCCCACAAGCCCAGGCTGCCCACATCTGCCCCTCCTCGATGCCCAGTCTGCTGGTGAAGAGCACACCAGCCCACCGTGGCAGAAGGACCATTCCTCTTCCCCAGGACCGTGATGTTGCACAATTCCAGGACCAGGTTCATATATGCTAGACGCTGGGGTTGTGCAAGAGAACTGTTCCCCGCAAACCCCCCATGCTTTTTATTGTCTGGGCCCAGAAAGGGAGGGAGTAGAGGGAGGGGAATGCGGTTACTTAGAGAAGCCACAGCCTCTGTGTTTCTTCTGCATTTGTTTCTAACTGAGCCTCGGAGTAACACTGTTGGTACACTGTTGGTTAGGGAGGGAAGTTAAAGAATACAGATTCAGGCCTTAACAGTCAGACCTAACACGCTCCACCTGTAAACTCAGCATATTGACAGTAGGCCCAGTATTGCTTACAACTAATGTGTCATGGCTCATGATAAAGTCACAGAGTTACTGACGTTGTAGATTAAAGGGATGACTGTGTCACCCACATTGTTCCCCCTCCCCTGTAAACACATGGACTCTGGCCACGGGCTTGAGATCATTTCAACCCAATATGAGCACCGAACATAAAGGGAGGCACAGAGCATTTTTAGGAGACACTCATAATAAAAAATCACTCAAGCTGCTACAAACATTCCTGTGGAACAGACAAATGTCTAAAGTAACAGAATATGTTTACTGGAGTGACTTTAGGGCTTTTGAATAGCTATAAGACAAACAGAAGTGTATCAAAGCAATGGTGCCTACCAGACATGGCAGGCAACTTAGCGGAGAGGCCAGGCTCACACACTTCCAGTTGGTATGTCAACTAACTGTAGGAAAATGGCTGCTCAAAGGTGTTTGACAGTTTGTCTCTGTTCGTGATCTCTATCCTCTTCTATGACCTTCTTCAGAAAGTCAAATTCTAGCCCAAACTTAAGTCCCTCTCATTGCTTATTGTAAAAGAATGGATTTTGAATTAATTAACAGAGATGCTATAAAGGAAGATGCAGAGGCTCTCTTACACTTAAGGTCTAGAGGTGCTCTCAGGCATCACTCAGGGAAGACACTGGCCCAGCCCGTGTGATCTGTAGTCTGGGTCAGTATGACATTGCATATCAAGGGTCTCAAGCCCACAGACACAGAACTGGTCACGAAGCAGGGAAGATGTCAGCAATTCCTGAGTTTCCACCTTGTGAGGGATTCCACAGAAATAGTCACAGTCTTGAATCCAGAAACGGGGCCAGGCTGGGAATGGAGAAGGCTGCAGACCCACACACATGCCTGGATGAGAGTCCCATGAGGTCTCTGTGCAGGCACCCAAGAGGCTGTCAGAACACCTGCCCCCGTAGCGCCGCATCCTCCCCATGTAGTGCCCATCTGCAGTCCAGACATGGAGGAGGAAAAGAGAGTCCATTGACATGCTAGTTGCCCATGGTGCAGCTCACGCACACTCATGTTCTGTGAGTGGCCAGGGCAGTCATCACTGACCCAGATCTTTTCCTGGGCCAGGAGGGCAGCCCCCCGCCCAGCCCTGTGGAGCAGAGTCGCTCATGCCTTCCACATGCTGAGAGCCCAGGACAACCTCTGCCCACAGCCCCTTCAACCCCCCTGCATTGCAGCTGTTCTTCAAGTCTCCGACCCCATCCTCCCTCCATTCCACTCATTTCTCAAGAACGACAGGCTCACATACCACACTGCTGAGAAGGAGAGGAATGCCAGAACGATCACAACCGCCACAGAGCCCAGGCCAGCGCCCACCATCTGCTGCAGCGTGAGCGACGAATCTGTGGGGCAGAACCACACGCTGAACCCACGGAGCAGGAAGCACGGGCCCTTCCAGGAGGCGCATGCCCACCTGTGCTCACTCCACTCTAGCCCAGGGCTTGGCCCCACTTAACAAACCACCCCAAGAATACCCAGAGTGTCTGTGCTCCCTGAAATGGCCCTGAGGATGCAGGGCTGTAGGAAAACACACTTTCGGGGTATTTCGGAAAAGGAAGTTTAATAAGGGGCCCCATTCATGTCACCAGGGATAAAACGGCTGCTCTAGCAGATGGTGCACGTACAGCATGCTGCTGCTCTCATTGGTGCTCTCTCCTCAGTTACCCTTGATAGATTTGTATAGGCAGTTTTCCTTTGCATTGAGGAGGAGGTCATTCTGACATCATTTGGATTTTTGGTCCAAAAATGAGAGTTAGTTCTAGGGGTCAAACACAGCAAGCAAATCCTCTCTGTTGGACAGAGTCATCTTCCATTTCCCTATACATACAATGGGTGGTACCTCCTGCTCTGCTCAGCAGGCTGCCATGAGGATAAAATAGGAAAATTTAGGTGAAAGCTCTTTGGAAGACATCATATGTTCTATCTGGGGTGTATCCCATGGCATCTCCAGGGAAATCCCTGGTTGTCAATTGCAAAATACCCATCTTTGGGTTGCACATTTGGGTCAAGTGACTGAATCAGAGCATCATGTGTTTCTAAACTAAAGGTCTTACTGTAATTTTCAAATACTTATTTAGTACTTACAATGTGCCAGACACTGTTCTAATGACCTCTCCTCACTACCCCAGTTGGTATTAGAATAATAGTGTCAGGTATTATAATAGTACCCAGTGTATTACTAGGTACAGACCAAGGCATGGAGTGGTTAAATAACTTGCCCACATCACCCAGCTAGAAAATGTCAGAGCCAGGATTCAAATCCAAGCTGTCAGGCTCCAGAGTCTTTGCTTGGACTACAGTCCCTTGTTTCCCCAGCACATGTCTGAATCCAGCTGTGTCTGCTGCAGAGCAGGTCACGCCCCCACCACCCAGAGCTGGGCTTGCAGGCCCAGAACTTTCCTGCACAGGCTCATGACGATGGGGCTTAGGGCGATAATAGCTCAGGTTTCTCTTTGGAAGAACAAAAGCCTGTGGGCAGTGGTGCCACCAGACATTGAGAACTTGGAGGCTGACTCTGCAAATATAGAATTAAAAATAAAAATACCACCAGGCCACAGAATAAGTATATGGAAGGGCAACCAAGTCTAAGTTTTGCCACATTATTTGTTACAGTTGTCACTGCTGGACACCAAATTATTTCATTTTTCTGTACCCTCCTTTTCCTGGTGCCCATGCATGTGCTTGGTCTGCCCCTTGGGTAATCCGGCACTGCCTTGGAAGGGCTGAAAACAGCAAAAACAAAGATCTGTCACTGTGAGGGAGGAAGGGCTTGAGAGGAATAACAGCAGTTCCTGGGCTTGAGACCCTCAACACATAGATAACAATTCCCTCGCAGGGAATGAGGCACATCTGAGAACAGCTCAAGCTACTTCACTTTTTCATCATCGAATGTGTACTGTCCAGTAGGGTAGCCATTAGCCACGAGGTGGCTATTTAAATCTAAATCTAAATTTAATTGCAATTAAAATTGAGTTTCTTAGTCATATTATTTCAAGAGCTCAACTTCAAGTACACATTTCAAGCACCCAGTCCCACATGTGGTTAGTAGCTATTAGACAGCACAGCCTTAAAATCTTCCCACCACTGCAGAAAGTTCTACTGACTGGCAATGCTCAGATCTCCACACCCAGGTGAAGAGCAGTTTGCACCTACAGGAGGCTCTCCAGGTAGCTGGCCCTCGCAAAAGCAGCCAGGGAATGCACCTCTTGCTACAGAGCCTGTAAAACCCATGACCTCAGCAAGGGTTGTCAAGAAACTTTCTAGAAAAACATAGCTTACATTGTTTGGCCACTTTTGGTGTCTGGCCTTGACATTTTAAGAAGCCGCATCATAAAATGGAAGGATGACCTGTGCCTGAGTTAGAAGTCAGTACAGAAAAGCAACAAGGGGAGGGACTTGAATGACCAGATGTGAAAACAGTGCAGTGTCAGCACAAGAATGAATACAATGGAATGAGACAGAAAGCCTGGAAGCAAACCCAAGCCTGTCACATAATTTCAAAGCTTGAACACTGGAGTCAGGTTGTCCAAATCTGTATCTGAACACCACCACTCACTAACTGGGTGATCTGGGCAATTTATGCAGCCATTTTGTGCCTCAGTTTCCCCATGGGAGGATGAAATAACAACATGGAAATGATAACAACAGTGCCTACTTTACAGGGTTATTGTGAGAAATAAATGAGTTCAGACATGTCAGGACTGCTCCTGGCTCACAGTAAGCAGCAGGCAAATATCAGCTATCGTTCGTTTTTGTTGTTACTGTTGTTTAGTTTCAAATCATGGGGGAAATTATACATTATTCACAACGAGTGCTGGGAAAACTGGCTAACCATTTAGAAAAAAGTTATTTTGCTCAGTAGAGTTTACACCATATACCTAAATAAAATCTAGATGGATTAAAGACTTAAATTGAAACCTGAAAGAACTAGAACAAAATGTAAGTAAATATTTATCTAATATTAAAGCAGGTAACATTTTTCTAAGCATATTTATTAATGCAGGAGCCTTAAGAGAATGAGAGCTCTAACATAAAGCATACATTTCTGCACACCAAAGCTACCATAAGCAAGGTTAAAAGGCAAAGGATAAACTGAGTAAAATATTTAGAATAATTAATAAGGGATTAACACATAGTATTACAAATTATTAAGGAAAAGACAAATACCTCAATAGCAAAATGAGCAAATTCTATGAAAAGTGAAGTCACATATAAAACATGGTTACAGATGACTGACTGATAAACCTTTGATCAACTTCTCTAATAAAAATGCAAATCAAAGAGATGCCATTTTTGTGCACTAAATTCACCAGGTATTGCGTGTGTGTGTGTGTGTGTGTGTGTGCACGCATGTGCGTGCCCCACACTTTTATTTTCTTTTAAATGATGATACAGCAGTGGACACAGTGGAAAGAAGCTGGAACTTTCCTGTACTGCTTGTTTCATCCAGTCTACCTGGTATTCCTCCCGATTTTGGTCATCAGTGTTTTCTCTATATTTTTTTCCAGTATAGTTTCAACCTCTCTATATTTTTAATCACTGATTGATGAAAATGTTGAACTGAAGATGACTGTAGACCGTGACCCATGTCCTGCATACTCCTGGATTTGACATCACCTCATTAATAAGCAACCTTGGTGTAGTCATTCTGCTAGTTTCTAAGTTTACACACAACCCTCACTTTCCTGCACTGCCCATAGGGCATTGTTCAGTGTCAGCTGAAGACAAAATACATTATGCCTGCCATGTCTCCCTGACCCATCAGTGTTTCTGTGCGAGAAGAAAGCGAGCACTCTGACCTAATGTGCTCCGAGCTCCCACGCTCACTGCTGGGCACTGCTTCCACCAGGCAGACAGAGCCATCTCTTTGAAGGTCTTGCCTGGCCTTGACTGCAAGTTATCATCATCTACATTTTACAAAATCCAGCTTCCTTGTACAGAGTTCCACATTCTTTGCTCATTCTCAGTCTTCTTTTCTCTTTTTGATCAAAATTTCTCAAAGATCACTGGCAGTGGGTTATCCATCTCATATGCAAATTGTACGAACCTGCTAGAATATGCTTCAGCCAGGTCAGAAGACTTTAACTTAATAAAACAGTTCTTCTCTTGGTTTCAAATATGCCTTCACAAGCCAACAGGACAAAAATGAAGAGGGAGCTGAGGAACCCGTCTTTCTCTCGACCACCCTCCAGCAGACATCATTCACCACAAGCAGGGGGTCCACCTACTCCTTACTCTAGACCTAAGTATTGGACAGTCACCTTTATTAATTCCATACAACATGACCCAGGTTTTGGCTCCTGGCATGAGGCCTGCTGGCAGAACAGTTCCTCACTGTAGGTCTTCCTGGCTAGTTTGTCTGTGTCCTCTGTGAGAAGCCGAGTCAGTCCAATCAAGAGTGTTCACAAGGTACGGGCTTCTCTTCCCCCATTAATTCCTTACTGAGAAACTGACCGCTGGCCAATTTGAATTACATTGTTAGAGCTTTGCCATCGTCGGCTTACCCTCACACTTCTATGGTCTCATGCTATGAAATCATGCTTGTTTTTCTTCTGAATCACTTGTAGAATATTCTTTTAGAAACCCAAGTGTGTTATATCCAAGATTCTCAGTGACTCATTCTTGAAGAAAGTAAATCCTTAGGCTTAAACTCCACCATTCTCTTCAAGGTGGCTCCCTGAAGAGGGATGTGCTCAGGAGGAATGATAGGGCTTTTCTGGGCTTATCTTTAACACTCTCATTAATAGAAATATCATCACAGGTGCTGAAGGGCAAGTAAGAAAGGCCCCATTCTTGCTCTCAGACCTTGTGACAGCCTGAGGATTTCTCATGGCCATGAATACTTTTTCGTGAATTTATAAGAGCAGGGTCATTTTCCGAAAGCAACAATTCTACTCTCCAAAAGGTACAAATAATTAGCACTGTGACTTCTAATTAAATTTCTCTTTGCCATTCTAGGGTCTCCTCACTTGAATTCCTTACAGAGTAGGAGATGGCAAGAAGATCAAAATAAAACAATTTAGAGATAATTCTGATGAATCATCAACATTACTGAATTCATTTTCTCTTGCAGCTTAACAGTTTACCTTACACTCAGCAGCTAGCACCCACTTCTTAGCTCACAGGTCCGTGGGTCAGAAGTTCACACACTGACTGAGTCACAAGGCCGAAATCCAGGTGGCTTTCCCCTCTGGAGGCTCTGAGAGAAGAATCTGCTTCCAAGATCATTCAGGTCATGGGCTAAATTCAGTTCCTTGCAGTTGTAGGATTGAGGTCCCCATATTCTTCCTGGCTGAAAGCTAAGGGCCACTCAGCTCATCCAGGCAACCCACATTCCTGCCATGGGGTTCCCTCCTTCAAAGCCAGCAGGAGAAACCCTTATGTCAAATCCAGCTCTCATTTTGAATCTCTAATTTCCCCTGTCTCTGATCTCTAGACCTAGATTTAAAGAGCTCACGTGAAGGTCAGGTCCATCTGGATAATCTCCCTATTTGGGACCTTAATTACATCTTCAAATCCTTTCACAGCAACACCTAGAATAGCCTTTGAATGAATGAGAGTCAGTGGGTGTATGGCAGGGGCCACTTAGGATTCTGCCTACCACAATTATGAAGGCTTAAAATAAGTGGGTGTGTTTATGTACATTTGTGTGTGTATATATATATACTTGCATAGCATATACAACCATATGCCTATTTGCTAGACTTTTATCTTGATGTAAATCTTCTCTGGCTTATTTAATAAGTATTGTGCTTACTAGGCTTCATTTTTTCATCAGACTACACTACTGGTTTCCTGGTAATCATTCAACCCAATTCAATAAATTCTGATTAAGTACCTACTGTGTGCTGGGCACTGCTGCAGCTCTTCAAATGCCCTCCCCTCAAGGGTATGAAATCTAGTAAGAAAAGACAAGTGCACCAGTTGATGTGAATTATAGCAAAATGGCTAAAGAGAGGGAGAGGGAGAGAGAGAGATCCCGTCCCCTTGAGGAAATACAAAAAGGTTCAGGAGGGAGATTTTAGTTTAATCTTGAAGAACAGGTGGGAGTGTAATAAGCAGAGAGTACAGGAAGGTTATAGGGCAGTCCAGGGGGAAGTACGCAAGTATTGTTATGAGCAAAGATGTTAAGGAGGGTAAGTGAGCGCCATACCGGAGAAGAGGCGGCACATCAGTTTAAATGGAGAAGACAGAGAAATGCAGTTAGAAAGGAGCAGGCCGTGGAAACCAGACTGAAGAGTAGTGCAGGACAAGGGAAGAACTGTCAGAGGGAATAATAAAATCAGTGCTGCAGTTTAGAAATAGGAGTCAGGTGGCAGCGTGTAGACTGGTGTGAGAAAAGGAAACCTTGCACTTGGGAAGGGAGATGAGAAAGGAGGCTCTGCCCATCACTCTGCTACTGACATAAAGGCCTGTGGTCAGGGAGCAGACAAAGAAATGAAAATCAGAGCGGCATGCCCGACGTGTAAGATGTGGGTTGAAAGAGAGAGCGAGTAGTCAGTAATGACTCACAGGTTTCATGCCTGTGACTGAAGGATGTTCCCAGATCACGGTTTATCCTTGTCTTACATACAACAAATGGCCTTTTGCTCTGTGATGCGGGCCAGCACAGACTCCTAGTGCTCTGTGGCTGGAAGGCATCTTAGAGCCTCGGAAAGAGGCAGCTGAGAACCAGCCAAATTAAATACAATTTCAAAGACACCCAGCTGATTAGTAGCAGGACTCTGACAAAGAAGCCCAGGTCTCTGCATTCCCCATCAGAACTTCAGCAGAGGAGTGGTTTTCTATTATCTCCAGTGCCTCTCCAATATTTGAATTCAGAGGTTCAAACTCTCTTTCAATAGTGGTTCTTACACTGAGAGGAGATGGAAGGCAGTGCCAGAAGCCACTTAGTTATTTCCAAACCAACTCCTTCCCATTAATCACTGTGGCATGACTGCACCAGGTCCTTGGCCATTTCTTCGACCCCATTTGAGCGTTTGCTAATCATAACAAATAGCTGCTGAAGGCAGTGGATTCTGGAAGCTATTATTTCTGTGCCTGCCCAGGATGCTTACACATCTCCATTCTACTGATAAAAGCACTTCGTTTCCATATATGGGAACTCCATTCCCATCCTTAAAGCTTTAGGGAATGGATTGGCAGAAACATTTCCAAATGTTGGACTATGTGGTCACTTCATGTGGCCTTCATTAAACTCCAGGAAAGGTATCTTAGCCTACCGGCACGCAGAGATTAACAGCACACATCTCTGTTAAGAGAGACCCTTATTTATCATGCCAAGTGAAATAAGTCAGACAAAGACAAATACTATATGATTTCACTTATATGTGGTATCTAAAAAAACTGAACTCATACACAGAGAGGGTAGCATGGTGGGTGGTTACAGGGGCTGTGGGACGGAGGAAATTGGGAGATGTTGGTCAGAGGGTACAAACTTCTAGTTATAAGTTTGTTAGTTCTGGGGATCAAATGTACAACATGGTGACTAGAATTTACAATATTGTATTAGAAACTTGAAAGTCACTAGGAGAGTTAAATGTCCTCACCCTCCAAAAAATATACATATACATACATACATATGTGTGTGTGTCTGTGTGTGTGTAAGGTAATTATGTGAGGTGATGTAGGTGTGGTTTTTTTAAATTTTTTAAATTGAAGTACAGTTGACATGTGATATACTAGTTTCAAGTGTACAAAATAGTGATTTGACAATTATGTACATTACTAAATGTTCACCACAGTAAATGTAGTTACCATCTGTCACCATATAAAGTTATTACAGTATTACTAACTATATTCCCTATGTTGTACTTTTTACCCCAGTGACTTGCTTATTTTATCACTGGAGGTTTAAATCCAGTTTATTTCAGTTTATTATTTTATAAGGTTTAAATCTTAATCTCCTCCACCTATGTCACCCATTTTCCCATCCTCCTCCCCTCTGACAACTACTGGTTTATTTACGGTGTTTGTCTTTCTCTGACTTATTTCACTTGGCATCGTGCGCCCTAGGTCCATCTGCGCTGTCACGAATGACAGCTTAGGTGAAGTAGATGGAGGATTTAACTAACCTTTTAGTAGTAATCATTTTGCAATATATACACATATCAAATCACCGCGCTGTATTCCTGAAACTCACACGATGTTACATGTAAGTTCTATCTCAGTAAAGCCCTCACTGCCTGGGGACTGCAATCCAAGGTGGCTGATGGTCAGTAATGAGCCTGCCCAGGTGAAAAACCAAGTCTTCTACCCTTCGAAGTTAGTGTGAATGGAGATGAGAACACGGGAAATAAGATCAGGGGGTAAGCAGACAAATGAAGGAAGCTTAACGCTCCAGTCCCTCCCAACCATTTCCTAAGGACCCTCCTCACATCCAGGGTGACAAACCCCCACTGCAAAGCACCATCCTCGGGGATCCTCCTGGAAGTGGGGTTATGTGGGTGCTTCCTCACCGCCCTGGCCTATTGTTTATGCTGCTCTGAGGTAGGAAGAGACAGGATGTAAGGGGTTAATGATGCTCTGGGCTAACAGCAGAATTCCTCAGGCTGTTGCTAGGATTCAGAAACCACAAGGAAAAGTCCAGATTCAAAGGTCATAAACTTTACAAGATTTCTGGTATTAAGCTACAAACTAATGGAATTCCTGGGACTCAAATCCACTGTCTGGCTGCCTGTTGGTTTAAAGAAATGTACTGCCAGGGAAATCCCAAACTGGGCAAACAAGGGCCTGTGATTGCTCAGTCCCGAAGGCAGTCCTGCAGGCTGGCTAAGTCCCTCTGTGAAGCAGAGGCTTAGACTTTCTGACCCTCAGCAGAGCTCCTCCCGCTGCATTTCTTAGGTAAGGCTTGGAAGGAAGTCGACAGGGGCACTCTGCCATCAGACAGACCCAGGAGAAGACCCAGGCAGCCCCAGCGGCTGAGCCAATAACCGCTTGGCCACCATAGGGGATGCCTGCCTTCCCCATCCGGCTCTGCGGGCCCCTGATCCCTGCGCAGGACTCGGCCTTTTCCTTCTTCTGCATGAAAGTACTTATGGTGATTATTCAGTTTTCCCTTGCCTATTACACACTGTAGTGTGAGAATGTTTCAACTTGCTATTTGGCTACAGATTTTTAAACGGGTCATGAGAAGCACAGCTTGGATTTGATCAAGAGGAACAGACCAAACCCAGGAATCCTGGTCCAGTGGGTGGGAGCCATGAAAGACCCACCTTTGAGTCGTGCTCCAACTTGGGTTGTATAGAGGACAGTCCCACTTTCTTAATGGAGAGTGTTTTCCTTAATAGTGTACGTGTTATGTGTGTATACACACTAAGTAGCCAAATGGTTGGAAGCAGTGAACTAAGGTAGCTCTCTGCTTTGGTCTGCCAACATATTTTCCAAACCTCTTCTGGACAGGGATTACATCCAATTCTCAAAACAGCCCTGGTGGGGTCATCTCTCAGATTGATCTGCCCCCACCAGCTGTACAAGCAAGCTCAAAACCCAAGCTTGGCCATTCTCATAGTGCCCTAGAATGGGGACCAGTCACCCAACAGATAGTCACTGAACCTGGGAGAAAAGACTCTTCCTGAATTGAAAAATGCTCTGTTCCTCTTAGGTGCTAAGCTGGGGCAGCAGGTGCCCATCCATCCCCACCACATGGCTTATAGTAGAGAAAATGAGGCCAACTCATACTGAGAAACAGAGAGCAGAGACAGGAGAAAGATAAACAGAGAGTCCCACTCAGGCAGTCGTGTCCCCAGTCCCGGTTCCTGGAGTCCTTGGGCTGCTGCCCTAGCTCTGAGTCCTTACACTCTCCACCCCCACCCTTCTTAGCTGCGGTTTTCTGCTTAACCTAATACGAGTCAGGCTTTTGTCATCTGTAACAATTTGAAAATAAATCTTGTTAACAGAAACTTGATGCAGATTGAACAGAGAAGTGGGGACAGCATTCTTAAGCAGAAAATGGTTTTACCTTTCACCTGAGCCCAAACTGCACACGTGCTTCTTCTCACCTAGAAAGGAAAACACATCAACATTTAACCAGGCGGCACATGACATCAGTGTTTATAAATAATACACTTTAGCTCTCCAAGTTTCATGGTTTTCTCTCTTAATTTGGACTAGAAGGTTTTTAAATTCTCATCTTGCTCTAACATCTTACGATTTAGTCATGTGATCACCAAGAGTTCAAGGGACTGGCATGGGTAGGGACAGAAATGGCTGTAGGGATTAATTTTATGTCCTCCCAATAGATCTTAGAAAGCACACACCAAGGGAAAACAATAAGAATGGCAATAAGTTTCATTCCCCTTGCCAGCTCTGAGCAAGTTGGCTTTGACTGCCTGGAGAACTATGCTCAAAAAGATTTCAAAGTCACGTCCAGATTCAGCAAGACAGTCATGCATGTTATAGGCAAGACTATGAGAAGTCCTAGCACATAATAACACTTCACTTATCTAGATGGTCCTTACCTGGCAACCTCAGTTGCCCAAAATGTAGCTAAGAACCAGGAAAAGAACATAAAGAACATGTATGAAAGCTCAACGATGGTAGAAGAGACCCACAAACTCACTGGAATAAAATACCTTCTCTCCCCCACTGCGATTACATTCATATCTGTCTGTTAGGAATGCTAGGATTACTGTCCATGGCAAAATATTCCTCAGAAGAAACCAAATAGCAGGGGTTAGCGAAAGAGCCCTTCAATTTCAATATAAGATTTTTGTCCAGTGACAACCCTGGACATTCTGGGTTTTGTCTTATTAAAAATTGAAAAAAAATATTCACACTGAAAAATCCTATAAAAGCTTAAAATGGCCATAAGGTTTTGAATGTGGCTAAATTTTACACTGATGCTAAAAGCATCAGGTGCATCTAATGGAAAATAATATGCAAGAATAACTAGTGAAGGACATATTCCAAGACATTGGAGAGGAAGAGGGACCTCAAATAACAAGGTCAGTACTAGGGAACTGAGTGTGTTAAAGGACAGAAATTGGCAGAGCCACGTGAAGAAAGGAGCTCATTAAAATGCAGGGCCTTGGTCAGATTAGCATTTTATAAAACTCATTCTCACAGAAGTATGGAACAAGATGAGAGGCAGAATAAGAGACAGGAAGATGAGTTAGAAAATTAATGTTCAGACACAAGATGTAAAAGGCTAAAAATGCTAACAAAGAAGGAGAGGAAAGGCCTTTTTTAAACAGCATTAAGGTGATAGAACTGAAACAGTATGATGATTGAACTAGACAAAGAGAAAAAGAGAGGAGACAAGAATTATTCCTAGATTTCTGTCTTAGCAACTAGGAGCATGGTGATGCTATTTAATGGGACAGATACACAGAAGGAAAAACTAAATTGGGGAACTGGAAAACTGACACTTTCTGATTTCTGATTTTACTACAAAGCTACAGTAATCAAAACAGTGTGGTACTGGCATAAAGGCAGACATACAGACCAATGGCATAGAGTCCAGAAATAAACTCTTGTTTATACGTCAAGTGATTTTTTTACAAGAGTGCAAAGACCATTCAATGGGGAAAGGCCATCTTTTCAACCAATGGTACTTGGAAAACTGGATATCCACATGCACAAGAATGAAGTGGGGCCCTTAACACCATACAAAAATTAACTAAAAATGGATTAAACCTAAGACTCTTGGAAGAAATCATAGAGAAAAAGCTTACAGAAATTGGAAGTATTTGGCAGTAATTTCTTGGGTATGACAGCAAAGGCAAGGCAACAAAAGAAAAAATAGACAAATTGGACTTTGTCAAATTTGAGAACTTTTGCACATCAATGGATACTATCAACAGAGCAAAAGGGCAACTCACAGGATGGGAGAAAATATTTGCACATCACACCTCTCCTAAGGGATTAATATCCAGAATAGATAGGGAACGCCTAAAACTCAACAAAGAAATAAACAATTCAATTTGAAATGGCCAAAGGACTTGAATACCCATTTCTCCAGAGAGGATAGACAAATTGTCAAAAGCACATGAAAAGATGCTCAACGCGACTAATTGTTAGAGAAATGCAAACCAAAACTATGGTGGGATTCCACCTCACCTCCATCAGGATGGCTATTATCAAAACAGAAAATAGTAGGCATGGGGGAGGGTGTGGAGAAAACAGGACCCTGTGCACTGTTGGTGAGACTATAATATGGTACAGCAGCTGTGGAAAATAGGATGGCAGTTCTTCAAAAGAAAATTAAAAATAGAATTAGCATATGATCCAACAACTCTACTTCTGAGTTTACACCCAAAAGAATTGAAAGCAGGGACTTAAAGAGGTGTTTGTACACCCATGTACACATGCTACAACGTGGATGGACCTTGGGGACATTCTGCTAAGTGAGAGCAGCCAGTCACAAACAGACACACACTGTGTGATTCCACTTCCATAGGAGGTACCCATCACAGTCAAGTTCATAGAGACAGAAAGCAGAAGGGTAGTGCCAGCATTTAGTGGGGAAGGGAGGAGGAATGGGAGTTATTCTTTAATGGGTAGAGAATTTCAGTTTTGCAAGATGGAAAGAGTTCTAGAGATTAGCTGCACACCAATGTAAATGTACTTAACACTACTAAAATGTAACGCTCAAAAGTTGTTAAGAAGGGAAATCTTATGTGTATTTTACCATAAATAAAAATAAATATTGAAAAAATAAATCACTACTAAATGTTCTGGAATTAGATGGTGCTTATGGCTATACAACCTTGTGAATATACTAAAAATGACTAAATTGAATTCACTACTGATTTTAATAGGACTGTAACACTAATGTATTTGGAGCCCATAGGGGAAGTAACTGCAACTCAAATCCACAAGTCCAGATATAAATTCATTCAAAGCCCCTGCATCTCCTTTAGATCCCAAAGAATAAGCTCATGTTCTGCTAAGCTGCATAACAAATGAGTATCAATGACATCACAGGAAAGTTTCCCATAAGCTGGAATTCATATCCTAACCTCCCACTTCATTCCCTCTATTATTCTGCAAAGTCCCTATGTTGAACTTTGTGATAAGAGGTAAGACCTTTGGGAGGTAATTAGATTGAGAGGAGGTAATGGGGGTGGGATTGGTGTCCATAGAGGATGAGCAAGCTTGATCTGAGCCCACTCACTCTGCACCATGTGAGGGCAGCAGCTGTCTGCAAGCCGGGAAGGGGCCTCGCTGGGGAACCAAATCAGCTGGCACCTTGATCTTGGACATCCCTGTCTCCAGACCTGTGAGAAGTGAATTTCTGTTGTTTAAGCCCCCAAGTCTTCGTTATGGCAGCCCAAACGTTACAGTACACCCTCCCAGACCAAAGTCTCAATCTGGGACAGCAGCTCTCTCAGCGATCTCTAAACTATATGCGTATTGCACTGCCAGTGCTATGTCTATGGCTAGAAACACCAAGTCAGGAGCTCCAGGTAATTTTCTAGCAAGAAGGCACTGTTAGGTCATAAATACCTTTTGAATAAGTTCAGGGCAATATGTCCTGGGCCTTAGCCTTCCAATTCTTAATTCCTGTGTTATTGTCACAAAACACTATAAGAACTCTATGCTACTTGGACATATTCTAAAAGTAAATGTTTGTTTGATATCAAGCATGAGAATGGCACATGAGACTCATGCCCTCTACAGAATTTAAGAGTATCTCAGTTTTACATCTTACACTCAAGATGGCCCAAATTCATTAGTCAAGAGATGTTTCTATTAATATTTTTCTAGTTTCCATTGTCGACATCTATGAATTTACAATAAACTTTGGGTTTCTCCTGGCCAACTATCACAAAGTTTCTTCCAGACAGTTGTCCACCCCTGACTGATTGACCCAGCTCTTGCTGTTCTGCTTGTCCAGCTCGTTATATGTATTCACTATGTAATGAATATATAGTTCCATGTCTCTTGAAAGAACCACCGCTGGAAGAACATAACTTTTCTAAAGACAAGAAGAGGAATATGGCCTATGCAATAGCCAAGGAAGTCATGGAAGCAGAAAATAGAGCAGGGCTGGGCCTCATCTGCCCCTCCCTCTTGCTCCCGGGAGAATGAAGGGAGGCAGTAGCCTGGCAGGAGCACAGGGATCTAGATGTTCCTCTCCAACTCAGGCTTCAGCAGCGCAATAGGATGAGGGTGTATGTGAAGCTTAAGAGGAAGAACCAAAACTAGGTCACTCTAAACACAGATCCCAACACGTCCTCCAGGAAGTTCAGAATATCAGCCTCCATCAAGGATTCACCTGCCCGTACTTCATAAAGGCAAAGGATTCAACATATTCATATGGTTATTACATGTAGTATCCATTTCCAACACTGGAAAAACAAAAGTCCAGACATTTAAATTTCATGGGAAGAAGAAAACACACTATTCACAAGAGTTTTTAAAAAATATACCTGATTCCATTCACTTGTCACTCGTAAGATAATGCAGTAATCATTCCCTGTTTTCAAGGGTGCATTATAATATCTCCCATAGTACAGCCTGTCTCCGATAGATATCTCCATATCATCTGGAACATCTCTGGCCAGTAGTTCTGCAGTCACGTATCCATCAGCATCAGAAGTGTTGCTGAAGAATGAGGTGGCCCCTTCAGAGTCACAAGCAAATGTGCTTTGGAGAGCCAGGGGAAGTACTAACACCTGATAAGAACTGGAAGGAAAAAAAAAAGAAAATGTCTATCAGACCCTTGCTTGAGGGATTCATTCATTCATTTATTCATATTTATTGGGCACCTGCTGTAAGATAAACATTTTTCTAGGCACTGGAAATACAACACCGCACAAGAAAAGTCCTTGCCCTTGTGTGATTTACAGTCTAACAGCTCCGACACTCATGGGATTCCAGAGTGAACCGACAGTGTTAATGCCAGATGACCCTGGGTAAGGGATCATTTCAAGTTCCAGCTGCAGACAGATGCCAAGTAAATCCTCTTTAGCTGGGAGAAGTTGTCACATGAATTGCTGCCTGGAGCACACATGTCATAAAGTTGATCTAATGGGTGATTTTCATGTGAGCAAACAAAGCCTGGCTATAGAAAGGGTTTGGCAGTCACATGGAGGCCGACCTCCCACCAGAGTTAATGCACAAAGTCTGCAAAAAGGCTCCAGTCACATGGTAACCTAAAACAAAACTCATGTGATTTAAATGCCCTGCAGCTCACAGACTGATACCAAAGTTGATGCGAAAAAAAAAAAAATGAGAAGCAGAGTGCAAGGTCACCATGAGTTAGTCTAGTCTAACACTATCATGAAACAGCCAGGAAGGTGAAACATCCTATGTACATTATGAAACTGTTCCCTAAATGTGGACATAGAAACACACTAGCAATCAGGTGTCATTTGTCATGTGTTTTATTATTATTGATCCCACCAAATAGAAAGGCTGCCAGTGAAAGAAGGTGTAAGAAGAAAATGCCCTGAAAATGAATCACACCTTCTTTTTGATTCCCATCTACCCAGTACTGACCTCCTGCCTCTAGTAAGTGTCTGGCATCAGCCTTCCCTATCAGGCTTGACAGCAGGGATCTGAACGACTGACCCTTGTATCCTTGCAAATCCTTACACAGTTCTTTGGCTATGCTTGACTCCCCACTATTGTTTCTTGAGTTGAAATTTCAGTATTTCATTGAAGAGGAAAAACATGCATGAACACCAAATATGACTAGGGTAATTTCCAAAACTCATTAGGCCACATAATAAAAAAAAAAAAAAAAAAAACCAGTAAATATACCCTTTCTGCCCCACATTCCTAATGCCCTATCTCCTGCTTACTGAGTCACTGGGTTAAGAAAAGGGAGCCTCGAACCATGGTAGGTGTTGGATTTGGAAAGCCTCCATCCCAAATATCCTAGGTGTCTTCAGGGCCCTGATTTCCACAAACTCTGGGTTCACTTTCAGCAAAGAGCCTTCTACAAAAGGTACATAACTTACTGCGAGGCAATGAGTTACTACCACCATCACACACCGAACATTTGCCAAGCATCGACTGCCTCAGCCCGTGTAACGGCAAACTTCCCTGGGGACTTGAAGGCATCCCCATCAATCATGGCCACAGGTGAGAAAGGTGATGTTTCAGCAGCTCCGTGCTGCCCATAAGCACATCTTCAAGTCCCTCTCATCTTTCCATGTCAGTGGTGGTGCTCAGATGCACACTCAAGGCTCACCTGGTTCTGTACATTGCCCACCAGAGGCACCATTCGTGGGGTGTAAAGCGGTCTCCCCAGTTAGCATCATCATAATCACCCAAGTTGCTTGATAATTTTACACATTCCCAGCCTCCATCCCAGACCTTCTGAACTCCAATAGATCTGTAATGCTGAAAAAGCACCCCAGGTGATTCCTATAACCTGGTAAATGCGGAAGACAGTGGCATTAGGAAAGCCCAGGAACAGGCTGCATCATCTGCCAAGATCACCAGGCTACAGAAGGGAGCCTCAGTCCCAGAGCCCCGCTCCACCATGTGCCCCACACCACGACCCCCCAACAATGCACAAAGCTGGCTCAGGCCCCCCCCTCTACCACTCACTGGCAAGGCTGCTACCCCCAGCTCAAGCCAGGTGGCCAGGCTAAGGAAAAACCACTCCACTTGCCTGCTGGCAATTAGCCCTGATGATGTCAGGGAAGCAGTTGTGGCTGTTTGGAGCATGACTATTCTGGAAGGACTTCTCACCTCTTTCCCACCACTGCCCTCCCTTGAATGACTCACAGCTCTCTACTTCCTGTTTGGGAGGCATATAGCCACGAGGGTACAGTCATTTATTTGGCTTTTCTATTTGCCTTGTATAATTATTTGGCCTAAATATCACATTTGCTCCTGCAAATTCTTTCAGGCAGTGATATGTGTTCTCCTTATAGCAACAGAACTACAGTGCCTTCCAGTAGCTTGTCAGGAATGAAGAAACAGAACAATTTGGGCAATATTCATCCCTGGAAAGACCTTTGAGCATTTACTGAACTTTAACTAATGGAAAGACAGGAAAAGCCTCAGTGTTATTATAAAGGGACACACAGATAGTATCTCCAGACTTTTTAAAATAATTTTACAACATCTCATCATCTCTTTTCACCTTGACTGTCCTGAGAGTCTTGAGACTGACGGGTCAGGAGAGACATAAGGCCAAGTAGGTCACACAAGGACAGCAAGGCTATTCCCAGCCTGATTTATTCCCGTGAGCAACTTGCTTACCTCTCCAGGCAAACCTTAATCTTACTCTCTGAAAAAAGGGAATAATTCTGCTTTCCTAATCCAACCATGACCTACATAAATAAAATGCTTAATTGAACACAGTGTAGTCCATGAATCACAGAGAAGACAAGTAGTGATTTTACAGCATCTTACTATGCTCATGGACAGTGTAGCCATGAAGGACTACACTGTGTTCAATTAAGCATTTTATTTATGTGAATTATTCCTAATACTATCTGGAATCCTAGAAGCTGACATCAACTATGCAGTGTCTTGCCCATAACTTAGTATCTGAATGAATTAAAAGAATTATCCAAATGATCCTTTCAGACAGCACTACACATACCTCAAGATCATCGTTAAATCAAGGGAAATACATTCCGTCTGTAATAAATGAAATGAGGCTCCTGACCCACCATCACTGACAGATAGAGATGGAGATGTGAGTGCAGAGGATCATGCCTGACATGTCACAGGCGCCCAGCCAATGCTCATCTCATGCCCAAACGGGTGGATTTCATTTCCTGAGCTAAACTGCCCAAATGCCCATCTCTGGTCCCTGACAAGTAAGCCTCTGTGTTTGGAAAGTTGCTGGTTTGAATTAAAGGCCCAGCCTGTGCCCAAGGAAACAAAAAGAGAGGCCCTGCCTGCTTCACACCCACTAGTCATGTGTAGCCACCTAAAGAAAAATCTCCTCAGTCAAACTAAAGTTTCCAAAACACCCCACAGGGATTCCTGAGAAGCCCTGGAACAGGGCCACTGCTGACCTGATAGGTCCATTTTCCTCTGTGGCTTTCCTCAGTCTCAGGCGTGGTAGGGGCCCTCCATTCACTGTGAAGAAGTCCACTTCCGGGAGGGGAGGCTCTGAAAACATGATGAAAGGAAAAGGGTATGATCAGAACAAGAAGCACAGACACAGTGGTCCTCGTGGGGCCATCAGAAGGCAAATTGTAATGGAAGAAGTGATGAACGTATTCTGACACGTGCTACAATAGGGATGAATCTTGAAAACATCAGGCTAAGTGAAATAAGCCAGTCAGAAAAGGACAAATATTGTATGATCTCACTTACATGAAATATCTAGAGCAGGCAAATTCATGAAGGCAGAACAGATTAGAGGCTGCTGAGGATGGAGCAGATGGGCAGAGAATAGGGGTTCACTGCTTAATGGTCAACAGTTTCTGCTTGAAGTGATGAAAAGGTTTTAGAAATAGGGGTGATGGTTTACAGCACTGTGAATGTCCTTAATGCCAATAAACTGTGTACTGAAAAATGGTACAATGGTACATTTTATGTTATCTATTTTTCCACAATTAAGACATTTTTAAAAAGGAAGGGATGCCCCCTCCTACACTGTTGGTGGGAATGTAAATTAGTTCAACCTTTGTGGGAAGCAGTATGGAGGTTCCTCAAAATGCTCAAAATAGAAATACCATTTGACCCAGGAATTCCACTCCTAGGAATTTACCCTAAGAATGCAGCAGCCCAGTTTGAAAAAGATAGATGCACCCCTATGTTTATCGCAGCACTATTTACAATAGCCAAGATATGGAAGCAACCTAAGTGTCCATCAGAAGATGAATGGATAAAGAAGATGTGGTAAATATACACAATGGAATATTATTCAGCCATAAGAAGAAAACAAATCCTACCATTTGCAACAACATGGAAGGAGCTAGAGGGTATTATGCTCAGTGAAATAAGCCAGGCAGAGAAAGACAAGTACCAAATGATTTCACTCATATGTGGAGTATAAGAACAAAGAAAAACGGAAGGAACAAAACAGCAGCAGAATCACAGAACTCACGAATGGACTACCAGTTACCAAAGGGAAAGGGACTGGGGAGGATGGGTGGGAAGGGAGGGATAAGGGCGGGGAAAAAGAAAGGGGGCATTACGATTAGCATGTATAATCTGGGGGCAGTACAGGGTGGGCTGTGCAACACAGAGAAGACAAGTAGTGATTTTACAGCATCTTACTATGCTCATGGACAGTGTAGCCATGAAGGACTACACTGTGTTCAATTAAGCATTTTATTTATGTGAATTATTCCTAATACTATCTGGAATCCTAGAAGCTGACATCAACTATGCAGTGTCTTGCCCATAACTTAGTATCTGAATGAATTAAAAGAATTATCCAAATGATCCTTTCAGACAGCACTACACATACCTCAAGATCATCGTTAAATCAAGGGAAATACATTCCGTCTGTAATAAATGAAATGAGGCTCCTGACCCACCATCACTGACAGATAGAGATGGAGATGTGAGTGCAGAGGATCATGCCTGACATGTCACAGGCGCCCAGCCAATGCTCATCTCATGCCCAAACGGGTGGATTTCATTTCCTGAGCTAAACTGCCCAAATGCCCATCTCTGGTCCCTGACAAGTAAGCCTCTGTGTTTGGAAAGTTGCTGGTTTGAATTAAAGGCCCAGCCTGTGCCCAAGGAAACAAAAAGAGAGGCCCTGCCTGCTTCACACCCACTAGTCATGTGTAGCCACCTAAAGAAAAATCTCCTCAGTCAAACTAAAGTTTCCAAAACACCCCACAGGGATTCCTGAGAAGCCCTGGAACAGGGCCACTGCTGACCTGATAGGTCCATTTTCCTCTGTGGCTTTCCTCAGTCTCAGGCGTGGTAGGGGCCCTCCATTCACTGTGAAGAAGTCCACTTCCGGGAGGGGAGGCTCTGAAAACATGATGAAAGGAAAAGGGTATGATCAGAACAAGAAGCACAGACACAGTGGTCCTCGTGGGGCCATCAGAAGGCAAATTGTAATGGAAGAAGTGATGAACGTATTCTGACACGTGCTACAATAGGGATGAATCTTGAAAACATCAGGCTAAGTGAAATAAGCCAGTCAGAAAAGGACAAATATTGTATGATCTCACTTACATGAAATATCTAGAGCAGGCAAATTCATGAAGGCAGAACAGATTAGAGGCTGCTGAGGATGGAGCAGATGGGCAGAGAATAGGGGTTCACTGCTTAATGGTCAACAGTTTCTGCTTGAAGTGATGAAAAGGTTTTAGAAATAGGGGTGATGGTTTACAGCACTGTGAATGTCCTTAATGCCAATAAACTGTGTACTGAAAAATGGTACAATGGTACATTTTATGTTATCTATTTTTCCACAATTAAGACATTTTTAAAAAGGAAGGGATGCCCCCTCCTACACTGTTGGTGGGAATGTAAATTAGTTCAACCTTTGTGGGAAGCAGTATGGAGGTTCCTCAAAATGCTCAAAATAGAAATACCATTTGACCCAGGAATTCCACTCCTAGGAATTTACCCTAAGAATGCAGCAGCCCAGTTTGAAAAAGATAGATGCACCCCTATGTTTATCGCAGCACTATTTACAATA